TTGACCTTGAGCATGACACATTGTCGGCAGAGGTCCTAAATATTCCACACGGAAATAAGTTAAATATCATGTGATTTAGGATACCTAGTTTATATAAATGCTATTGATTTTCTATCTAATAGGGTTATCATATATGTTTGTTTGAAAAATTATAGTCTACTATAGATATAGAGTTGACCTCTCTGTTGCTGACACCTTGTTATTTGTCGGTTGTCGTGTTGAAGTTGAGGGAGTACGTCGATGACACAGAGGATTACATCAACATTATGCTGGATGACAAACAGAACCATCTCCTCCAAATGGGAGTCATGTTGACCACGGCAACCCTGGTAGTGAGTGCCTTTGTTGTTGTGGCTGGTGTTTTTGGCATGAATATTCATATTGATCTGTTTGATGATAAGCTCTATGGGATGAGAGAGTTTATGTGGACTGTTGGTGGCGGCACTGCTGGAACCATATTCTTGTATGTGGTTGCCATTGCCTGGTGCAAGTATAAACGCTTGCTAGAATAAGGCGCACTCCATTGTGTTCCATACAATAATGTAATTTAATTGGAAAATCAACTTTTTTGTATGTTGTGTAGAATTTTAATAGACTTTTTTTTCCTGTACATTATTGTATGGACAAAGTCTGCAACAACATTGGTTTTAGGCAACACTTGCTGCCAGTCCTGTAATTTTCACAAAGATTTCCTGAGATTCACAGATTTGTCATCATATTTACTCTTAAGGTTGTTTTTTGTGTTCTTTGTACCAATTTCTTTCTGTGTGTATAGGAAAAGTTTCCTGAAACAATATTTAGGCATTGTAGATCTTTATTATGTTCTACTATCTGGTGCTTTTTTTAATTGCTCCTCTGCGTCATAAATTTTGGGAGCCTGGCATTATGAATATTCTTTATGTCCTTGGGTATTATCCTTGTTTATTTAAGGCTTTATTGGTTTTTATTTTGTGAACAATGGTGCATTAGTTTTGACTGGGCAAACCTTTGCCAAACAATTTTGTTGCATTTTATCTTATGCTTCTGAGGAATAAGTCCATATGTTACACCTTTGCCAAACAATTTTGTTGCATTTTATCATATGCTTCTGAGAAATAAGTCCATATGTTACGGTAGACACCAGTAAGAGATCCGTGGTGCCGCATAGGAATTCAAATATTTGATATAGTATATTTTGAATGATATAAATAATATATTTAAATGCTGCTCATAATTATTTTAGTAATGATTATGTAAATTAACTATACATGAAAAAAAATAATTATGCAAATGTCAAATTTTAGATATAAATGCAAAATTTGAAATGATTTACTTAATTGTAAAATGAACAATATTTATATAGATATAATTATATTAAATAATCGTACAAAATTAAGGAAAAAAACCTGTGAAAGAGAAAAAAACAATATTTATAAATAAATATTTTATTTCTAAAAAAAAGTTAATTTAAATAAAATAGATTATTCGGTAGTGACGTTTAAGATAAAAAGTTAAAATATAGAGATGTAATGATTTTAATAATGTAAAGTTTCTCTACATTAGCAAATTCATATAGTCTCTATTTTCAAGTCTTAGTTTCTCTGCATTAGCAATTTCATAGTCAGTTGGAGCAAAACAAAAGTTGTTTTCACAAAATCATAAGTCAACATATTACATCTTATAACAAAAGTGCATATACGACATTTCATTACACAAAACCCATAATCCAGCATATACGACATTTCATTACGCAAAACCCATAGTCGAGAAAGTAAATTTGAATGAAAAAAGATAGTAAATTTGAATGAAAAAAAAGAAGCATTCCACTCACCTCACTTCACATTTCATATTACACAAGATTGGACCATAAAGCTTGGATATTGAAATATCGAGAGACTTGAGATTATTGTTTGATTTGTTAGTCACAATTGTTGAATATCTATAGTAAGTTATTCCATTTGCAACCATGAGTGACTCATTTGTGTTCGACAGGAAATTGGACCCACCATGAAGCTGAAAAAACTGAAGTTCTTTAGTTAGACTTTGAAAAATATAAGTATTATAAGATAGTTACATAAATCATATGCTAACATTACCTGGGGATGGAGTTATATTGGGTTTGGTGAATGAATGTTGCCTGGTAACAATAGGCTTAGGAGCTGTAACAACAACTGCGAGGAAGAAAAACACAGCGATTAGTTTTACTATCACCAGAAAATCTGTTTATCATAAGTGTGAGGCAAATAATGATGACTATAAAATTTTTTATATTGATCCACAATTAAATTTAACCCGAAAATCTCACATTGTAGCAACTGATAGATCTATATTACTTCTGCTGCTGCTGATTTAGAAGCATGTCACCAAATGCCCAATAAACTGCTGTTGCTGATGGAAGGTTCAGTGTCAGAACATAAAGGGTAAGCCAGGAATGATTAATATTGACTACCAGTTTGAGGTAAAGTATTGGAGAGAATTTAGTGAAGAATTAGCATTAAATGTGATTAGCGAGGTTCGTAAACATTGTAGCCAACCTTTTGTTAAATGTAATTTGGCGCACGGAATCTGAAAAGTAGAAGAAGTGAAGGCTTATTTCGTATAAAGTGTAGTGTAAAAGAATTTTGAGGGAAGAGTACTTTAGTCAGTTTGGCCAATCTTTTAGTAATAGTTGGATAGTAAATGATTCAAGAATGCATAAATCGGTTATTTCTGGCATCTAACTGCCACATAGTGTTATGGTGACATTGAATTACTTTCTGTAACCGCGTCTTGTAAATTCTAATTGACTTTGAATTGACCTTAGATTTGCATCACATTCTTCAATAGTAAGTTGAACCTAAAGTCTTCAATCTTCATTGACTTATCCATCCCATTCTTCATGGTTCCTTCTTTTTTTCTTTCTGATACATTTTCTCTTTGGATATCATGATGCAAATGTAGTTTTTATCTTGGAAGATGTGTCACTTGTAACATAAAGCAATTCCATTGGATCAAAATGACTTGTCCTAGGAGCAAATAATATTTAGGCAGATTTAGGCCTGAAAGCAACTCATTAACAGCATCAACAAAGATCATAACTGAACAACTAGAAATTTTGTTAGTGTGGCCAAACATTACTTTTAGGTAGGTTTAACACTGCATCCTTCCTTGGATCACATATGAGCATCTAAAGTCAAGTTTCTTTGTTCACACCAGATACTCAAATTGAAACTGTGGTTGTAGTTTGTACTCCAAGAATTTCTGGTGCATTACTTCTCTGGCACTATGTGTGACTTTGGACCACTTTGAAATCAAGGTAACTTAAGAAAGGGACTATGCTTTAAAAATTGAATTTCCTTTAGGGTTCAGGATGCACATGAATGAATATCTTTATGAAATGCTATTAAACAGTAAAAATTCGTTAGGAGATTCCAAAATAAGAGAAGGAAATAAAGTTTGTTTGAATTATCAGTTTTGCTTTTTGTATAGATGGTTGGTTTGGCTGTGTTATAAAGGCATGAAAATGTTGCTTTTAGTATAGATTCTTATCCAGTTTGATGGAATGCAGCTGGAACACTTACTGTCCACAAGTTTATTAGTTTGATTTGTCTTTAGCTTAGCCTCCTCTATTAATTTTATTTTACCAACATTGCCTAACTTCAATTGCATATATAACAAAACCACATCCTTAATTCTCAATGAGCATATTTTCTTTCAGCTTTTTCAACCTTTTCCGGCTAAACAATAGTTTTTTAATCTGAATAGGAACTTAGTGGGAATAATTAAGTAATAATTCAGAGGAAGACACATAATTGTGCCATGACATCAAATTATGTGACAACTACCAAGCAGACAGACTTGAAGGGACCAAACCTATATTAAAAAAGAACATTGCTTATAATAAATATTTTTAAATGAGGATCCTTCCAAATGAGATAAAGTTGGCATACTAAACAAAATGGGGCATGTTCCTCTGGGTCAGGAAGATCTCCTGAGCCTAGATTGCATATATGAAATATTCCAACATCAATATTGACATTTCCTTCTCATCTTTCTACATTCTCCATACCTTGTACCCTTTATCACTTTTTGTTCTTTTTGAAATCACTAGTACTTTCAGAATGGATTGAACTTTGTCAGGTATCTTCCATATCTGCTAAAATGCCTTATCCGTTGTGACGACGCAACCATTTGGGCCTGGATCCTCTCCAATGACGGGAGGGCACAGCGTGGATCCTCACTGTTCCAAAAAACACGAGAGGATCCGTTTCCAAACCATATTAGATATTTTTGGGTTATTTCATTTGTTAATTATTGGATCTCCTTAATTAGACCTAAAGAATTTTGAGATGTGCATGCATGTGTAAGATTTGATTACTAATTTTGTGAGATTGAAATAGATCTCTGCCAGCTTCTGCACCACATTCTTGTTGCTTAGAGCATACTTAACTTAACAAGATTATTATTTTGTTGCTAGCTAGCTAAGATCTAATTCTAAACTAAACAAAAAGACTGAGGAACATGTTGTCATTGTCAACCCCAAGAATGCAACAGAATTTTACATTTCCAACGCACTGAAAGCATCTACCTCTGCTATGCCATATGCTACCATGAATTTTGAATACAGTATCAAGATCTGCATCTATAGCTTTTAATGTGGAAAAATTGTATGCATTCCATCAAAAACAATGATTGAACATGTTTATGTTTATACAGAACCTATTGCCTAACTTACTATTCTGTCCTATCTTGTGTACACTATTCAATTCATCCACAGCAGAATTAAATTATAGAAGAAAATAAAAAATATAGGTTTCTAAATTTTCCTTTTATATAGTTTTCCATTGCACTGCAACCAAAAGAGAAGAAAAAAATACAGAAAAGAGAAAGAAACATAATAGTCCCTTTTGAGATTAAATTCTTTCTTCACTATCAAAAATATCACTTCTCTGCCTTCCATTGATCTTCATCATTCAGTAGCTTTCACAGCGACAAGTTCAACAGAAGAGAAACCATTAGTGTGAAATTGAACTTCATGTTCTTTATATCATTCCCATCTCTTTCGCTCCTAACCATTTTCTGAACACAGAATGCAAATGAATATGATTACAATTGGTATCATAATTTAACTACTCAAACTTTAATTTCTTTGATTGTAAAGAAGAAAAAGCATTGCTTACTTGTTGATATGAGCTTCATTTTGTGATAGAGATGATTGTAAGAAACCAAAGTGGTCTTGCAATGAAGATCTCTCCTGAAATAGCAGAAATGACTTCTAATCAAATAAGTGTAACCTTTAAAGGAAAGAAAGAAACAAAGAATAAAGACACATACATACCTCAAAATAAGTAGCAGAAAAACCTTGTGAGTAATCTAGCACACTCTCTATGGTTGAAGTTGTTTGTTGGTTATTCATAGTAACAACATTGTTATTGTCAAAGAGAGGAGAGCTAGCAGTGTCATCAAGGTGCTGCTGAATATTATTTTCTTTAACTTTCTGTCTCTTTTTACTTCTTTTGGTGAGTTTTGCAGGCTTGGATGGAGAATATTCTTGGTGTGGAGGCCCAGATGAAGCATCAGAAACCATGGACGAGTCCTCTTCTTCATCATATTGAACCTTTTTGTGTTTAGTTTGGTCAAGAGATGGTGTGTATGATTGTGAGGAGGTATGGAAAGAGTGGTCAAGGTATAGAGTCCAACCAGACTCACAACCACTACTGCATTCTGAACCCAATGCATCCATATGAATATGATATGATCCTCTTTTCACTATGTTGGAGTAGATAGGATTCTCTAATTTATGATGAAATGAAAGAGTTACAGTAAAAAAGAGTTAAACTATAGTATATAGTAATTAACTAACATGTATATATCAAACTCTCACATGACCATATCTTATTATCTAGTATTTATATACTATAAAAAGTGTACTATATGTGGCAATGTGTCTCTCTAGTTTAGTTTTGGTTTGGGGTCATGAGATCAAGTTGGATAAAAATGAAAAAAAGTGGACGAGGTGGAGATAGCTTATATTTCAAAAAGTTATAAAAAAATTGCAAATGAATTACGAAAATATAGTCATTCAAACTCTCAAGAATCTATTCTTTTAAGTGTTTCTCGATTTTCCTTAGATATCTTTAAGGATTTTGCAAATTTCAAGAATGCACTCTTAAAATTTTATTCTTAACTCTCTAAAATTACTACTAGGATTCCCTAAATCCTTCTCTTTGTCTTCAGTTTTAATGTTTTGAAGGTTATCTAGACAAGAATGATAGAGATACATATTGATAATTGTTGAAATCCAACGAATCCTTAAAAAACCTAAATAATAACCAATTAACGAACGAATTTACGAATCAAAACAACAATGAATCTCAATACACGTGAACCGAGAAAATTGAATCCGAGTTTGGCCAAACCGAACCATCCCCCAAACCCAAACCCACTATCGTGTCGTCGCCACTAGCTCCGCTTCTAGACTGATTTATGGTTTTTGCGATCTCAAAATATATTTTCTTTCTTTTTCATTACTTAATATTTTAAGGTAAGTTTCAACAATCTTTACATTGACTTGAAATTATGGTGATGTCAATGTACGCATCAACCATCTTAATTCTCAATGTCAATTCAACATCTATTGAACAACTTTTGTCAAGTTAAAGATTTGCTTCAACCTTGATTTTTTCACTTGCATCTCACTTGCTTTCAATCACATTTTTCTACTTTAGCAGTCTAATAAGTCCACAAATATAGTTTTTCAACCATATTTGATTCCACATACTTTTGAATGCCTCTTTATGTCTTTGAGTTTTACAATCTGTTCTGGACTGGGTCTGCCCTTGGCCCAACTCCACGTGAGGTCCAATCCACGTCGGGCAGAAACTTCCACTCCCCGTAAGGAAGCGACCTCACTGCACGAGGGGAAAACCCAGTTACCCTTAGGGAGCTCGCACATCGGTCAGGATGATCCCGATGACACCTTTCGATCCTCCTCGACCAAGCCTTATCTCCTCACATGACCTCGCGTCTGGCGGGGAGAATTCTACGACGAGCAGAAGCACCTCATGAACATCCTCCTCATACGGCTGACTATCAACGTCTCCGAATATCACAGAGTCTTCGTGGTCCCGAAAAGACTGCATCCATATCCTCCTAATCTTGCGGAGGAAGTCATCCAGGTAGAGGACCACGTGCGGGTCCCCTTTACTCACGTAGAACCTGACAGTCTCCACTTTGGGCCTGCTTGACCAGCCCAATAAGGAGACCTTGGCCCAGCGCTGGGGGCTATAAATACCTTCCCTTTTGAGAGAGTCATGTATTGAACATTTCTTACTCTCATACTTGCTTGCTCATTCCGAAACTTACTTTGGTATCAGAGTGTCCTTCAGGCACCCCCCCACCTCACTCTCAAGTTCTGCTCGGAGCAAGCTGTGACGGTCCATTCTGGTCAAGTACGATTAGTGGCGCCGTCTGTGGGAAAATTGCTTCCCCGTCTTCCATTCACACGAGACAAAAGCTAAATTCAACTACCTTTTGACTGTCATGGCTGATCACACGGAAGAAAACAACAACGTTGCTGACGTCAACAATAACATTTCCGACCACAACACTGAAGTCAACAACGCTGGTCACGCTGGCCTCAATGCCGACAACAACAACGACCACGCCGACGATATGTGCGGTCCCTCAGAGTACAGAGACGGGATGACTTCCTCTTCATCGTCACTGTCCCGAAGACTCAAAGACGATTGTCGTCCTCTCCAGCAATACTAGCCACCCGCGTTCCAGGAGGTCCCCATTTTCGCGGGTACTGATGCCACGACAAGGGCATTATTTGCGACAATAAATCAAACAAAACTCTTGATCTTCTCCCAAGGGGAGAGATTAAAGGCGATCGAAGATTCTCGGAGAGTCCCTAGAAGACATAGGAGGCCTCATTCTCCTCCTCCTTGCCAGATAAAGGAACAACCCCAATCTCCCCCACGGAGACGCAGGCGGGACGCCTCTCGAAGCCCCTCTCCCCGACAAATTGGGCGACGCCCCGAGTTGGAGAGGGACCAGCCCGTAGATATGGGGAGACGCGATCACATTCCCTCGTGTCAAGAGCAAAGACCCCCTAAAAACAGGAACAGGGGAAATGACGAACGACCACACTGCCCGAGGAATCCTCCACACAACTAGGGTCACCATCACAACCACCACTACAATAGATCTCCTTCTCGCTCGCCAGACAAAAGTGACAAAGATGACCCCCACGGTCCCTTGTCACAAGCTATTATGAAGGCACCCCTCCCCCCGGGTATGGAGAAACCTCCCCATCTAAAGGAGTACGACGGTATTGCCGACCCAGTCGACCATATCGACGAGTTTGAGGCAATGCTGCATTATCATAACGTCGGGGGACCAATCAAGTGCCGATTGTTCCCCACGACTTTTAGAAAGCTTGTGATGGACTGGTATAAGAGCCTCGCCCAAGATTCAATTACTTCCTGGAGGAATTTAAAAAACTAGTTCATCAGTTCATTCACTGCTTCACGCTGACATCCAAAGAATGAAGCAGCCCTCGAGGCAATCATCCAGAGACACGACGAGACCCTCCGAGAGTTTATTGATCGGTTCAACCGCGAGGCCATTCAGGTCCCCTACATCGATCATATGAAGAGATACCTGCTCGAGAGGGGACTCCTCCCGTGAACGGAATTCAGTAAAGCCGTTGGCATCGAACCACCGCAGACATTCGATGCTCTCCTCGAGAAGGTTAGAGCCTACATGGACTATGAGGAGAGGGAAGCGGCCAACAGAGCCTGAGACCCAAGGAATCATGGATCAACCAACAATCTGTGACAACAAGATTCCGGCCCCCCTCGACGAACTAGCGAGAAGAGGATGGATAACATACCACAGTATCCTCGCGAGCAAAGAGGACCCTCAGGGAGGTTTGCCGAGTACACTCTACTGACAGCTTCCCGCGAGCGCATCTTGGCGGAGTGCGCTAATACTGATTTCAAGGACGGCAGCGTCAAGCGTCCTCGCTCTGCTCCTGCTAAGCCCGAGGCTGATCAGAGCAAATATTGTCAATACAATCGAAGTCATGGACACCTGATTGAAGACTGTGTCCATCTCGAAGATGCTATTGAGACCCTCATCAAAAGGGGTAGACTCGAGAAATATCATTGCAGCGACGACCCTCATCGAGATGCCCGCGACACAAAGGATATGGAGGAGGATGCCCGGATATCAGACGAAACGGTCCCCATCCAGACAGCATTCTCTGTTACAAGACTGGGGGACTTCTACATCCCCGACGGTATCGAAGAGCCTCTGTCCACACGCAGTAGGTGGGAAAGGTTCCCCTCCGCCATGGTCATAAATGGTGGGGGATTCAATGACATAACTATAAACTCCACGAAGAGGAAACTGGACGAGCTGGTCGACGCCCCCTGCAAACATTGACATTCGAGAGGGTTAAGGACAGATCGGAGCCGATCACGTTTTATCTCGAAGAATTTCCCGGAGGGGACCCTAACTCAAGCATCCCTCTTCTGGTTAGGGAGAGGATGGCTAACTTTGACATTCATCACGTTTTGGTTGACGAAGAGAGTTCCGTCGATGTGATGTATAGCCAACTCTTCCGAACCCTACAGCTCGACGACATCCACCTCTCACCATACGTGGGGTCCGACCTACAACGCTTCAATGGCTCGACCACCAAACTTTGGGGGTACGTGGAGCTCTTGGTCACCTTCGGCGAGGACACAACCACCAGGCAAGTCAAGGTGCACTTTCTGGTCATCGACTTCCCGTCTCTCTACAACTGTATCCTAGAGAGACCAACACTAGCGGAATTGACCGCTGTTCCCTCCATCGTCCATCTAAAAATGAAATTCTACACAAAGAGAGGACGTGTCGCCACCTTCCAAGGTGACCTAGCAGCTTCCTAAAGATGCTTCAACATAGTGTCAACGAAACAGAGTACGGTCGACACTGGAGCACAACCCGCCAAGAGAGCCGCAACAGCAAGACCAGAACCATAGCCCGTCAAGACGGAAGAACAGAGAGCTCCTCCAAAGGTCGACATTCAGTACGAAAGAAAGAAAGCCCAAGCTCTGGCTGACTTCGTCGCAGAGTTGACCGCTCACCCCCCCCCCCCCCCCCCCCCCCCGCAGGGAAGGAGCACAAGTGGACCATCTTTGTGGATGGAGCTTCCAGCTCAACGGGAAGTGGAGCAGGAATTCTCCTTGAAAATGAGGAAGGCGTCGTAATCGAACACTCTCTCACTCTCTTATTTCCGACCTTGAACAATCAAATGGAATACAAGGCTTTGCTCGCAGGGTTAAGGCTATCCGAAGATCTTGGCGCACATGAGATACACATTTTTACTGATTCCCAACTTGTCGCATCTCAAGTTCAAGGGGAATACCAGGCTAAGAACAGCAGCCTCATTGAGTATTTGAACTTGGTCAAAGAACATATGAAAAAGTTTGACCGGGCAGAAATCACACACGTACCACGCGAACAGAACACACAGGCCGGCATACTTTCAAAGCTCGTGAGTACGAAGAAAAAGGGCAGAAACAAATCAATCATACAAGAGTCCCTCTCTCGCCAAAGCATTGAAAGGTCCACGACGCTACTCGAAGTGAATGCCATCGGGGACAGCTTATGCTGGATGACCCTAGTGTTTAACTTTCTGACAAAAGGAGAACTTCCTCTAGACCAAAGGGAGGCATCCACGACCAAACG